AATGAGAAAGGAAGTGATAGCAGTGCTTTCTCTCTATTAGTTGAAGGTATCTTGTTTAGACTTGTTTTATTTTTTTAGCTCCTTTGTCGACTTCGTCGAGCGGAGCCTATCATATGAGTGATTGTCCGTCGTCGCCTGCCGTCGTCCGTCATCCGTGTCAATGTTTTACTTTTTCGACTTCTTCTTGAAAACTGTAAGCCTGAATGCTTTGATACTTGGTGTATATGTACCCTGTGTAGACCTCTCTCAGATTTGTTTATTTCATGATCATATCTTCAATTCTTTAATTTTGGTTATATTTTTGTCATTTTTGGTAAAAAGTGACATTTTCAACTTCTTGTTAAAAACCAATTGTCCAATTGCTTTGATATTACATATATAGGTACTGCATGTGAACCTCCCTCATATTTGTTCATTTCGTGGTGATATCTTTAATTCTCTAATTTTAGTGAATATTTTTGTAATTATTGGTAAATAGTGATATTTTCGACTTCTTGTTGAAAACCGCAAGTTCAATTGCTTTTATAATACATATATAGGTACTACATGTGGACCTCTTTCAGATTTGTTAATTTTGTTGTGAAATCTTCAATTATTTAATTTTGATGATTATTTTTTGTCATTTTTGGTGAAAAGTGATATTTTTGACTTCTTGTTGAAAACCGCAAGTCCGATTGCTTTTATATTACATATATACGTACTACGTGTGGACTTCTTTCAGATTTGTCTCGTTGCTTTTTATATATATATTGTTCATTTTCTAATGATATCTTCAGTTCTTTAATTGTAATGTGCATTGCTAACAGCGGAGCTATCTCAGCCGAGAGGCTGCTTTTTGGTAAAAAGTGATATTTTCGACTTCTTGTTGAAAACCGCAAGTTCGATTGCTTTTATAATACATATATAGGTACTACATGTGGATCTCTTTCAGATTTGTTAATTTCGTTGTGAAATCTTCAATTATTTAATTTTGATGATTATTTTTGTCATTTTTGGTGAAAAGTGATATTTTTGACTTCTTGTTGAAAACCGCAAGTCTGATTGCTTTTATATTACATATATACGTACTACATGTGGACTTCTTTCAGATTTGTCCCGTTGCTTTTTAGTCCCCGTTCGGACGAAGTCCGAAAATGGGGACTTATAATTCGGTGTGTGTCTGTGCGTCCATCCGGAGTCATATCTCAGAATCCCTTGGACTGATTCTGTTCATTCTTTGCATGTGCCTTGTACTTTATGTGAGACATATGCACATGCAGTGGTTTAGCGATTCGATTCAAAATGGCCGACTGGCAGCCATCTTGTTTTTTGAAAATAGTGTATTTTGGACATGCTTTGGCAGTTTTCTTTCAAACTTGGTACATAGATTATACATGTTAGGATACATGTCCATGACGATTTATTTCACAATTGGATCAAAGATGGTCGACTGGCAGCCATCTTGTTTTTTGAAAATGTTGTATTTTGGACATGCTTTGTCAGTTTTCATTCAAATTTAGTACATAAATCATACATGTTAGGATACATGTCCCCGGCCTTCCGTCAGTGTCTGAGTCTGTCCGTCCGTGTGTCCGTCCGTTCGTGCGTCAGTCTGTCCATAATATAATGACTTATAATTCGGTGTGTGTCTGTGCGTCCGTCCGGAGTCATATTTCAGAATCCTGTGGACCGATTCTGTTCATTCTTTGCATGTGCCTAGTACCTTATGTGGGACATATGCACATGCAGTGATTTAGCGATTCGATTCAAAATGGCCAACTAGCAGCCATCTTGTTTTTTGAAAATGTTGTATTTTGGACATGCTTTGTCAGTTGTCATTCAAACTTGGTACATAGATTATACATGTTAGAATACATGTTCATGACGATTTATTGCGCAATTGAATCAAAAATGGTCAACTGGCAGGCATCTTGTTTGTTTTTTTTGTATGCGTATCTTTGACGTGCTCTGTCAGTTTTCATTCAAATTTGGCACATACATGTACTTTATACATGTTAGGATGCATGTCCATGACAATTTGTTTCAAAATCTGGTCAAGGATGGCCGATTGACAGCCATCTGACTTTTTGGCCTTACTACTATATTTCCACAATTTACCATTTTCATTCGTATTGGCACATACATCATACATATCAGTGTGTTTCATAATCAGATCAAAGATGGACGAATAACGGCTGTTTTTATTTTTGGCCATGTTACTACTACACGGAACACGTGTTTTGATGTAAATAAACAATCTGTTGTATACGCCACTTGGAACTCAAGTTTCAAGAACAGGCTCGCGACAACCCCTCTGCTTTAATATGACGAGCACAAAGTGAACTTTCCAAAATTTTACGGGGACTGTGTCATTTTCAATGACTTGTTATATATATATTGTTCATTTTCTAATGATATCTTCAGTTCTTTAATTGTAATGTGCATTGCTAACAGTGGAGCTATCTCAGCCGAGAGGCTGCTTGTCTTAAATATAGATATATTTCTGAGTTATATGATCACCTGGTAATGGATATTTTATTTTCTCTTGTACAGCAAGTTTGAATTACACACCAAGAGGCTTCCAGGCATTACCATCAATACCCCCACAGCGTTTCTATACACCACCGCCACCTGAGATTAATATTACACCGGCGAAACCCGCCATGGATTACGATTCCTCTGATGCAGAATCCTTGCATGAGATTCCTATCAATCAGACTAAACGTGGTGGACAGTTAGCGAATGGCACTCTATACCAGTCACAAAGTCACACCGGCATTGGCCGAATTTCACCTCTGAATTTGGCATCATCATACGAAAGCAGCATAGCACAACAGCACGCCATGCGCAGTAGTCTTGACTCTATACCATTTACAACAAATACATTACCATACAGAAAACATGAAGTGCCGCCTTTGGACTTTGACCCTCTGAGAGATAGCTATGGTACTAGCGCTGGTCAGCCATCAGCGATATCATCAAGGTCGAGAACACCGAAGAGCTCAAGAAAGCCAAGTATACAAGATCTCTAAGCAGTTCAGTAATTTTTGTGACTGAAACAGTTCCAGTTCCAGGTTTACTTGCATTTCATATCACTTGAAAAGGGAATATCTAATATTTCCTTCAAGAGACTATTTTCTTTAAAAAAGTATATTTTTTGTTATTTTAGTAAAATGTTGCAAAGAGAAAATGTTGACCAGCAGCTTTTGTACTTAATAAAAAAAAAAAACAGATGTCAATATTATAGATATTTTGTTTTTGCCCTTTTAAGGTGCTTTCTTCGTTAGATAAAATGTCCTGTGTATCAGTTTGACGTCCAATATTAAAGTTTATTGTCACATTTACCGTTATCTTAATGTTTTATCAATGGCCCAGTATTCCACTATTTTTTTTATTTGTTATCAATCGGACAGTTGATGCAGTTTTACCAAGTGCTTAAAATGAGTGATTAGCCCTCTGTAGTAGGGAGTGATGTAGTACAACTTCACATACTCGTAATTTGCCACATTTATTTACAGTACTCACACATACTGTAAAATACTTTATTTTAGCTGGAATTAATTTCCGTTGAAAAGACTTTTTGGGTGTTTTGTAGGGAATTTATTTTCACTGATTTCTGACGAGTTGAATGTACAATATAGGAAAAAAGTATATTCGCTGGATTTTATTTTAACTGAATGATTCCTTCAGCGAAAATAAAATCCAAGCTAAAATAAAGAATTTACAGTATATCACACACAGATTTACACTTTTATTTTGATTTTAGCTTTGACTGCACTAACTGAAATGACATGTAAAATATCTAAAGTGTTGGACTAATCAAAAGGAATATTTATTTAGTTTTTTTTACAATTCCTCTTCATATCATATTTTTAGCAATATATTTTATTAAAGTGCCATAGACATTAACAAATAAATGTATTAACACATGTTGTCACATTTGACCCATATTGAGCATACATGAACAAAAACAAGACTTGTAAGTCTGCAGTATCTTGGCATGTCATCTGTTTTGTTCATATTCACATTTGTGACGAGGTCTTGTGATAAAAATGTTTTTAAGTCATTATTTAATATCCCATAACTTGTACTTTGACCGAAAAACTGATAAATGCTATAGATGAACAAATTGTTAAGGTACAGTTATGGAGATTTCTTTTTTTAAATATAAGTCATATTATTTAAAGTAAAGTTTTTTTTCGGGAGAAATTGTAGCAAAACCGTCCATTTAGTTGTTTTATTTATGTTTTATTTATGGTGCTTTGTATATCACCAAGTCTGTTAAGTCATTTTAGGACCAGACGTAGTTGACGTAATGTTCTACTTAAAATGTCTCAGCTGTGGATCTCTACGAAATTTGAATCCACAATCAAAACCCAGTACTGACTGTGAATTGATTGAATCCAAATGTTTAATCAAAATCATTTAATATGCAAATTAAAGGTCACTAAAATCAGTTGTAAAATATAAAAAAAATACTATTTTGGTGACTATAGTTATTGTGATCAGTATCCAGATAGACAAGTTTTTTTATCATTTTTATAACCAATTGGTCAAGCTTGGTCGATTTACAGTTAAATAACTTTGAATTACAAGGGTCATCCAAATTTACAAAACACAATTTATTTAGTACTTTGTATAAAAGCATATAATTGTTGTATACTGTAAACCGCTTTAATTTTGCACTAACAATTTTCATGAATTCTCAAGTTGGTGAAAAACCGGGAAATTTCGTAGCAAGCAGTGAAACGTTCTTTGGTGTCTTATGACACAGTGCATCGGTGAATTTGCAAAATGTTGCCTTCGTGAATGCCAAAAAATCCTTAAATTGTGAAAATTAAATTGTTTACAGTACTTGTATCTCAATGTTTTGTAGCACATACCTTGTGCACAGCAGTATGACAATTTTTAATGAAATAAAATTCTGCAATGAATGTAATAAAAAAAAAACTTTTTGTCTCCTATATTCACCTCAAAAACATTTGTTGATTTGAAAATCTGTTGGAAAATTCAATTCCCAGCCCATTACCCATTTGAAAATTAAATCATGTACTAGTGCATTATTATATTTATGCCTGTACCTGAATCCTACCCTAGATACAGTGGTAATTATATACGTGTCCTTATTGCTTCGTTAATACTCATTTTGTCTAATGAGCAAAGATTAGACTTGGCAGTGACCTGGTATGTATATGGTAATTGTATTTTGAGAAGAGGAAAAGACGAAAATCTCACTAGTACATTTTGATTAGGATTTAAATTCATGGTTTGGTAAGAAAGTGATCTGTTTCATATTACTGTTGACAGTACCAGAAGTTTTTGCAAGCACTCTAGTATAAATTATTATTCACTTCAATCACAGGATTATTTAATTTCAAGCAGGAGGGGGTGCTTGAATCATGAATCCTGGTGCAGAGTTTTCTGTTTCAATAAACATCTACTGCAATTATGAGATTTAGAATAGAGTCATATGCAAGTTATACCAAGTCTACCAAAATCAAATAAATACATACAAAAATATCGAAATGTACCTCCACATATCGTTTTAATGAGATTTGTAATTTATGTAGTGGAAAATCTGGTACTCAGATTGTTTGGAATGAAAACAAAACTCAAAATTTTAAACTGGAAATCTGTTTTATGAAAAATACTTAGATATCAATATCTCGATTATCTCTTCAAATTTTTCGATTTGAAAACTTAATTTAAGTTTTATGCCATGACAAATAACACTTTCTGAGGTTAATGTATTCATTAGTTGCATACCCAGTCATGTGAGAGATCATGTGATTATATTCAGACAATTTGCATGTCTGATCTGAACCAATGATATGGCAGCTGATACTTGGCCCCCTGGGGTGAGCATTGTTGTACAAAGAACCCTTGGACAATCCGAGGAACTAGTCTAATTTCAGTAATGGCTGCAGAACAGTTTTTCTGAGTAAAGAAAACAAAGCACTGACAAATCACAAGCATAGATTTATATATTATGAATCATCATAATTAAAACATTTACAACAAAAACAAAAATAAATTATATTATTACATATTACATTGCACTTGATATCCCATAATACTACTGACAAAATAAAGTGTACAAACCAAATGAATGAACATAGTCCATCACAATGATAGGCGGTTGCTTAGATACTAATCCATGCACATGCATGCACAAGACATTATTTATCAGTAAAAAATAAGTTGTTGGTATCAACATCAGAACAATTTGATAGCCTGAGGGTGAAATTTGTCAACTGTTCGGTCAACAGTTTGACTTAAAAAGACAGTATAAAAAGGACTACTTTTTTTCATGTGAAATACATGTACAATAAATAGTGGTAAAATGGTCAACAATATCATATATAGAAGATAATATTT